CCGCTGTACAACAGACCCGCGTCACCTCTCCGCATCACGGCACTTTTGCTCCGGCCAGAAGCAATTACCAAACTGGTTCCGCGTATTTATCACACAAACGTACATATTTTGCGACAGCAAATACAGGCTATATTCAAATAAATTTATATAAAATTCTCTTCAAAACTAAAAAAAAAATTTAATGCCTGTAAGAATCAAATTTAATGCTTTTTAATGCCTTTTAAGGCCTTAATTTCCGCAAAATCCATTTAAGGACTTTTAATGCTTTTTAATGCCCCACGGAAACCCTGGGTTATACGCTGATTTCACGCAGCCGCCATTTTGAAATGGCTCCGGTGGGAAGAAAACCGGAAGTGCCGCCTTTAATCATGGGAGAGTTGCGAATGCGATGGCGTATTGTTGTGTTTAATGTAGAAATTAGTTATTCTAAAAATGTACATAGTACATTTCTTTCATACTTTAGACTATATACAGTGAAATTCATTTATAAATAAAATTATTTTTTTATATATAATTCAGAACGACTTAATGAACCACTGAAACAATTTTTTCTTACTTAGTGTTGCTTTAAATTGCATATATGTAGGTCCAAGAAATCTAAATTGTATCGGGGAACATGCTCCCGAACCACCTCACATTTGAATGCTCGTGTCTGTGGGTGTGGTAATGTGGACTGGTGTGGCTACAGTGCCAGAGTTGAATTATTGTGCCAGTCCGCCCCTCTCTGTAGTCATTATACTCTAAAGGCAGCTGATCTGTCCAGTTCACAAACCATAATCTCAGTGTTTATGTATAAACACTTCAACTGAAACCTCACTGTACGACTGAACTCACATCATCCACATCCTTCGACTGCTTCTTAGGAGCCTTGAGGGGTTTCTTTTTACCTCCTGCATAAAGAATAAAACATTTTTAATATTTGAAACCATAATAACATGATCAAAAATAAACTAAAAAAAAAATATATATATATACATTGTAATAAGATTTTTTTTTTTTAAGTATAACAATAAAAGAAAGGCCCGATATTTGTTCATTAAAATGCAGTGAAATGTCTTAATACAGATAAAGCAGATATCATCGTGTAACGTTACAACAAAAAAAACAAAAAGATTAAAAACAATCGACGTTTACAATCTATAAAGACCGGGCATTGGAATACGAAAATTGCGTTTCTATTACCTACGACGTCGTACACAATCAAACTGTCATGTTTATGGGTTTTATTTAGATTAATTTTTTACCTTCTCTTCCAGACATGTTGCTCAGATTATTTAGCTAATGCTTTTTTCCGCGCTGTCAGGACCCCAGCTGTTACCCGGATGTAGTGCGCCCGTCTTGTGCCTGAGAGAGAGAGAAGGAGGTCTCTGCAGAGCAACAAGGGGCGTGCCTCAATTTGGGGGCGTTTTACAACCAGGTAGGCGTTTTACAATCTCTCTGCCTGGTTTGCTAAAACTTGAGTGGGTGATACTTGAATACGCTTTCCCCATCAGATATTCAGATATTAGTGATAGCGAGAAAACGGTACAGTCTATGGGTGAAATGAGGAGAGAGGTCACCTGTCCTGCATATGGATGTAAGTGGATTTGTGTAAATTCTCATTTTACGTCAGTTAACGCTAATTAGTTTGTGTAAACTTGCTTGCAACACGATTAAGAAAAGCTCCAAGAGGTCTGCCACTTACAATCTATCGCTAACCACTATTAGCAAACATTCGCTAACTTTTTGGTGCATGCGTTTGTTACTTTAGTGTTGATAGTGGTAGTTTGCTTACTGTCGGCGTGTTGTAATATAAAAAAATAGTTAACGTTAGCTTGTCAGACTAGAAAACAATAATTGTAAACAAATATTAGTGGGCTATTCCACCGAATTATGGCCCGGTTTCACAGACAGGGACAGGGTTTAGCCTAAACCAGGATTAGTCCATAGTTCAATTAGGACATTTAAATAATTTTCATAAACATACTTAGAAAAAAAAAACATTACTGGTGTTCATCTTGAGACAAAACAAAGACACTGATATATTTTAAGATCAGTCAGTGCAAGTGTATTTCAGTTGGAACAGCTCAGACTTATTTGGTCTAGGACTAGGCTTTAAAATTGTTTCTGAAACCAGGGGATATAGGTAGCCTACTAATATGTTCTATAAATACAATAATAAAAAAATAAATAACTATAAATACATTTTAAGGAAAGTGTTGTGCACATTAATCTAACTGCAAATTCTGTCTAATTAAAAATGATTAAAAACGATTAAATTTTTTTTGTGGATAAATTACGTTTTCATTCAGTCCAGAACCCACTCCCTTCATATAAGAAATGGTGTTTGAGTGTGAGGTGCGCTGTAAGAAAACAAGAAAAGCTGAAAAAGCATTGCTTGTTAAGTTTATTATTTTTAATATCAATTTTAATGTAATATTTTTATAATTTTTCTGTTATTTATATTATATCTCATAACCCTAACAAAAACCTCTGCAGACACCTAGATTTAAATAGAAACATGATTTGACTTTTTTTAGCTGTGAGATCAGCTCACTAGTCAATGTTCAACACTCTTCATTATATCAGTGCAGGCATTAATACCTCACATGTGTAGTCAAACCTATAGACTAACATAATTATGTACAGTGGAGGAAACTTGTTAAATTAAAATGGATGAAATTGTTGTCTATTCACCACATGACAATTCAGCGGAGAGGACAAGAGCCTCAACCACAGCGCTACCTTGCAGATACTAATTTATTCACATGCCCCTTCTGCACATCTCAAATATGTAAACCCAGACATTATCATCAAATAGTCCCATATAGCTGGGCATAAAATAAGGCCCCAGCAGCACCTGATCCACCACAACAAACTCCTTCGCTGGCCCCAGCAGCACCTGATCAATGAAACTTGATATACTGTATTATTAATGTGTTTTTATGTCATAAATTTATCAAGATCGGTCATGGAAATCCAGCAAAGAAAGAGAAGGCGGACTGACAAGCCACACAAAACTGGTATGATTTATTTTGTTTGAGGTGCTCTATTATTTATAGTAAATGTTGACTGTTATTTACTGATGTTCTTCATTTGTCCCTTCATAGTGGCAACTGTTGACCAACCCCTGAACATACAGGAGGCATGTATTTGTTATTACTCAATTTATAAAATGCAAGGGAATCATTATAACCACAAGAAGTTCAGATTATGTTTTGTTCATGTATAGCTTCCTCCGCTGGTCCTTCGTGAAATCTTACTGGAGGTTGTGCTTCAAGATGGTGATGTTGCAATTGGCTCCCTTGCCCTCACCTGCAGGTGCTTCAACAGCATTGTGAGCATGGAAAGTTTCCGCCGAGAGGCTCACTTTCGGTGGTTGGACAGTAAGTTTTATTAGTGTCACTGTTTGGTTAATCACAGCTCTCTCTGTTTTTCTCAGTTATGTATGGTTGAATATTAAGACAATGATGAGGTCAGCTGACAACTTTTTTTTTAGGTGTCGTGAACTGGAAGGCATTCAGTGAAAATGTCAGAAACCTGTATAGGGTTCCATACAGTCTATCCAGATGTCTCCATTTTGATACTACATACAAAGACTGTGGCGAAGGCTACAGAGGGAGAGGGCAAAGAGGTGTGTTGCAGGGGTTCTATGGCTCTGATGACTCCCCAGGATACTGCGGAGACTGTTTCTATGTGGCTGTGGAGGAAGCATCTAATGTTTCATGCAATGTGTTCCTCATGTTTGAACTTGCCACATTTATTGCTTATTTTATTTTATTGGATGCTCTCTTTTTTACTATTACATTAAATAGAGAATGCTGCATTTATCAATACAGTTTTTCATCATATTGGTTACAGTATCTATACGGTCAATAAAGTGATGCTAATGTTTAAAGTTTTCAGAGTCATTATTCTAAGTAAACACATTTTACCTTAATTTAAAGGTCAATACGTTTTACTTTATATATCATTTAATGTAAGCTACAAATATCACTTAAATATCAGTCATTACATATAAATATATTTTGAAAAATACAGGTGAGAAAGACCAATACAATAATTTTCACCATTGCTTTACAGTAGGATTTGGTAACTTTATTGGAAATTGAATTTTTCCTTGTTAATCACCGTTACAACTTGATTTATGTTGTGTTGTTCACACACACACAAAACGAAAATAAAACTAATGTAATTATAAATAGTTGAGTAATAAAGTAATTTTTAATACTTTTACCTTTTAAGGTTTACATTTAGAGGAAAATTGCATGTAGGTAGGAGAGAATATTATAAAATATAATACACACTCACAGGCTATAACAACATTTACATATACATTGCGACAACATTTATGTCAAAATAAAATCCAGCTACCTATTTTCTTTAAAAAGGAATTCTTTCATAAACCAAATTTCCCGTTATGTTATAAGATACAGATCTTGTATAACTATCTTATGAAAGAATTCCTTTTTAAAGAAAATAGGTAGTTGTAGCCTGTATTTTATTTTTTACATAAATCAAATGTTGTCGCGATATAGACATAATAGTAAAAATCAAGAAAAAACCCGAGAAATAATAATAACGCATTTCCGCTTCTGAAAGTGCTATAATAAAATTTCCGCTTCTGAAAGGGCTTCCGAATCCGTACGGTTATGATTGGATGGTTGGAAAATGCCTAGACCGGTTTGAAAACGCCCATTAATTGGGAAACACCTTCTTGTTGTTCCGCAGAGACCTCTATTTGGGAGAGAGAAGAGAGTCTGATTCAATTCGGCGAATCGATTCTTTAGGTTGGTTCGTGTAACTGAACTGGTTCAAAAACTATTTTGATTCGTTTGAGTCGTAGTGTTCCCAGAAGATTAGATGTTGCGTTGTTTATGAACCCATCCCAACATGTCAGTCTCACAGTTGTGTGCCAAACGAACATAAAATACGTATATTTTTAATGGATTGATAATGCAATCGAGTGACTTACAGATGCTTTTAGAATCGGTTCAACTGGATCATTAAAAAATGAATCTGTTCAAAAGAACACCAGCTACTGCCTGAAAGAAATGCGCTCATGCAGCAAGATGACATTTCAGGAAATTTGACAGGAGGTATTTTATGTACTATAACTATACAGTCTTCTGTAAACATGAGGAAATAGGGACCCGAGCAGAAAGGACGGAGAATCGCTGGTGCGTTTTGTTTGTTTATGAATTCATATATACAGTTAAATCTATAAACATTATTTACCGAGATTAGTCTTTTCATTCATTAGCTCGACATGTATGTATGTAAATATAACAGCGTCTTAGTTACATTATACACATTTTTACTGTGTAATTAACTTTTGAATCACCAACATAGAAACTTTATTTTATATGTTGTTGTGTAACTGACCTTAGGACTTTATATAGAAGCTCTTTCAAATATACAAATTGAAGCCCAAATCAAATTTATCAGTCATATTTTATCATTGTTAACATGTCTATATTATGTATTTACTCCCAATATAGTGTGTTTTTGTTTTATCCATTCATTTAGCCTAGTGCAAATGCAAATTAAGTTCATTTTCGAGCTAGAAAATATAATTATTATTATTTTAGGAACACTGATTGCACCTTGTGGATAATTTCATGTAGTCAATGTATTTATTCTTGCAGGTATTATATTTGACGTGTGTAATATCCCACATATGAGGCTCTTCAATGAGGTTCAGAGGGAAAACTGTGTTTTCGAGCAGCTACGTCTCCACATGTCTCTACCGACACCAGCTGTCTGTCCCGGTCCAGTGGAACCTCCACAGAACTTATTGCACACAGCAACAAAGCCCGAAAGATGAGCCGAATAAAATGACGTCTGTGAAAGAGCGCACAGCATCTGCGTTGACGTATGCTGGAGATCTGGGGAAACAATGGGGCCGAAATTTGGTGAAAACCACTACAGTGACCGTCAACTACTGGTGGGAGCGCTATGAAGAGTTTGTCGGGCTTAATGAAGTCCGAGATGCTCAGTCTAATGTCACAGAGGTATGACTCAAAAAATGATGCACTTTTCACTCATGGATTCATTTATATGTCAATGTGAATTATGTATTGCTTTCAGGCTGAAAAGGCCTTCATGATCGCCAGAGGAATCGTCAGAGAAGCGCACACCAGCCTGGAGGCTCTACAGGTCCGGCTGAAGGAAGTGAGGGACCGTTTGGACCGCGTGTCTCGTGAAGAGGCACATTACTTGGAGTTAGCCACTCTCGAACACAAGCTACTGCAGGTGAGGTGACCTAGAAATGTACAGTAACGCATTCATTCCTTTAAAGGGGTGGTTGATTATGATTTCACTTTTCTAACTTTAGTTAGTGTGTAATGTTGCTGTTTGAGCATAAACAACATCTGCAAAGTTACAACGCTCAAAGTTCAAAGCAAAAGGAGATATTTGCTTTTAAAGAAATTGTTTTTTAAGGACTACAACAAACGACTGGTAGAGACTACACAACATTCCTCCCGGGTTAGTGACATCACTAACCCTAAAATTTACATAAACCCGCCCCCGGGAACACGGTTTATAGATTATCAAGACAGAATATGCTAATCAGTGACTACAAGATAACTACACATAAGCTACATAAATTCATCAACTAACCATTCAGAAATTTTGTCACTTCTTCTTGAGTCTCTCCATCTTTCTGACTCTGGTTTGAATATAAAAGGCTAAAAGTTTTTGAAAATGTCATGTAAAGTTTTTGAAGCTCCGCCCCCTGTGCTGGGAGAAGCAGCTCATTTGCATTTAAAGGGACAGACACAAAACGAGACGTTTTTGTTCACCCTCAAAAAGTGACAACTTTAACATGCTATATAAACATATCTGTGGGGTATTTTGAGCTAAAACGTAACATACACACTCTGGGGACATCAGAGATTTATTTTACATCTTGTGAAAAGGGCATTATACCGCCCCTTTAAAAAATAAGTCTGTTGTTGAAATAAGTCTCTTCTGCTCATCAAACCTGCATTTATTTGATCAAAAATACAGAAAAAACACTAATATTGTGAAATAGTATTCCAATTTAAAATAATGGTTTTCTATTTTAATATACTTTAAAATAGAGTTTATTTCTGTGATTCAAAGCTGAATTTTCAGCATCATTACTCCAGTCTTCAGTGTCACATGATCCTTCAGAAATGAAAACAGTTGTGCTGCTTAATATTTTTTTTATAACCTCTGAAACTTTTTTTAGGATTCTTTGATGAAGAAATTTAAAAAAAAAAGGACAGCATTAATTTTAAATAGAATTATTTTGTAACAATATACAGTACTGTTCAAACATTTGCGGTCAGTAGTTAATACTTTTATTCAGCAAGGATGTGTTAAATTGAAAGAAAAGTGACATTAAAGATTTACATTGTTAGAAAAGATTTCTATTTTGAAGAAATGCTGTTTAACTTTTTATTTATAAAAAATCCTGAAAAAAGTATCACAGTTTCCAAAAAAATAGTATAAAATCATCATATTAGAATGCTTTCTGAAGGATCATGTGACACTGAAGACTGGAGTAATGATGCTGAAAATTCAGCTTTGATCAGAGGAATAAACTCTATTTTAAAGTATATTAAAGTAGAAATCCATTATTGTAATAATATTTCACAATATTACCGTTTTTTCTGTATTTTCGATCAAATAAATGCAGGTTTGATGAGCATAAGAGGCTTCTTTCAAAAACATTCAAATTAGTAATGTTTCTAATCTTTTGACTGGTACTGTATTGATTGCACCTTCTCTTTAACGTTTTTATCGTTTGCAGGAAGAACGGCGCTTCAGAACGGCGTATGAGAACGCAGAAGGCGCCGAGCGAGAGAAGTTCGCGCTCTTCTCGGCTGCGGTCCGAGCAAGCCACGAAAAAGAAAGGACCAGGGCCGAACGTACCAAAAACTGGTCCGTGATTGGTTCGGTGTTGGGCGCCGTCATTGGTGTGATGGGCTCCACTTATATAAATCGGGTACGTTTGCAGGAACTCAAGAGCTTGTTGCTGGAGGCCCAGAAGGGGCCGGTGAGTCTTCAGGAAGCCATTAAGGTCCAGGCCAGCATGCATAAAATGCAACAAGACGAACTCAGCAACCTCATCGACTCCCTCAGGGTGAGTGCGAAAGGAGGCGTGGAAGATACGAAAACAGTCAAGCAAACATTCGTCCCGCCAGCGACTGCCATCGTCCCATCCTCAGCATCCAGTGCCTCAGAAGAAGCGCTTCAAGAGATTCTCCAACACAGCCAACGAGCCCGAGGGCTCATGGAGAGCCTGAAGCCACAGCTGGAGCAGCTGGAGGAGGGCGTCGGGAAGGTCGGGACGGAGATACAAGCGGTGAAGACCACCCTGCAGTCTCGGCCCTTGGAGAGGCCGGTCATTCAAACACGAGACACTCAGCTGTTTGTCTGCGACACAGAGATAGTCGTTCAAGGCCTCGGTCACACTGAGAAAAGACTGGAGGCGCACATCAACAAAACGAGTCTGTACAATACAGTCCTGACCTGTGCCGCGTTCGCTGTGACTGTGCCAGTTCTGTACATTATGTTGAGAGGTACTTGAAAAGTGTGCAGGCAATGTGCAGGCACTTTAGGGGCCAACACACTATGATAATAATGTAACTAAAGAGTACAATTATTGCTCACGGTTGTGAAAGATTAAATATTGTCAATACTAAAAATCAATGTTTTATGTTCATTCTTTGTTATACTTTCTTAATGCTACATTGGTGGTGGTTGAGGAGATTCTCCCTTCTATGTGAAGCGCTTTGAGTGCCCAAAGCGCTATATAAATGTAATGAATTATTTTTTAAACTGTAAAAATCGAGTTAGTTTTATTGTAAACTTGTAAAATATGGACTTAAATGTATTAACTGTGGACTAAAATACCCACCTGAGGAGTCACAGAGGCTCTTGTGTGTCTCGTTACTGTTGATCCAATTGCTTATTTTGAAGCAAAATGTGATCGTTCACTGTCAAATTGTGCTTTGTCTAGTTTTATTTTTCTAACGATCCTAACATGTCTGTCCCTTTCCACGGGTCGAACCAATGAGCGTTCAGATCAGAGTTACGCAGTTGCCAACGGACCAATCACAGTGCTCTGACTCTCTTCCTCAATTAATATTCATAGCGTTTCTCGCGCGCTTAGTGATCACATGGGTAATTTCGCGCGAAAAGTCAGTCTTCCCGGGAAAAACTAGTCTTCAGTCGAGCTGCTGTTTAAGACGGACGTGAGAACATGGCGGTGAGTGTGTTTTGTATATCATCTAACGTTATTTATATGTAAACAAGCCATTTAAGCCATAGTTTAAATGTGTTTTAAAGTATTTGACTTTTGCAAACGTGTCCGTGATTATGTGTGAAATGTGCATGGCACATACAAGTATTATTTAGTAGTAGGTCGATAATGCAATGTAATGATCTAGATTGAACAATAAACTCGATATAATATACAAACTCGAACAAATGTGCGTTTACATTTGCACAAAAGTCATTTTAATTCGAGTTTTGCATATTTATTTTTCTGTAACTGTCAAATCATTGAACTTAGGCCTGTTAAAAAGCCGACCAGAATTATACACACACACACAAAAAAAACATTTCTTGTTTTTAACTGAAAAGCTCCTACACTGACATGTTGAATTTTTTAAGCTATTGTGTTGTAAAGGGTTAAGCCAGTCTAAAAAAAAAGGTCCCACGTGGGTTAAACTAGATTCTTTGTATAACTTGTGGTTTCAAGTGAGTGTGTGTTCTTGTGTAGGATGATAGCACTCATAGCAGAGCATCAGTTTTTTAAGTGTTGTGCTTAAGTTAGTTTCAGTATTAATACCTCAGCCTGATCTAGTTACACTTGTGCATTTTAAGTCGCTTTCAGTCTGTCCTTTGACATCCAATTCTTGTGGAAAGATTTTAGTTTTATGTAACACTGACATTTTTTTTGCTTCAAAACAGGATTCCTCCGAGTCGTTTCAGATGGCCACCAGCCCCACGCGTGGCTCCCGGCGGGGTGACCTGACCTCCAGCCCCGGCAGAGACCTGCCCCCGTTTGAGGACGAATCCGAGGGGATCCTGGGAGAAAACATTCCCAATGAGGACGACGGAGATGGAGAGGAGCTGATCGGAGATGGGATGGAGAGGTGAGAGATAACGTGTGTGTCTTTGTGATGGTCTGCAGATCAACAGGGGGGATTGTTAGGGAGGAACCTCATGAAACGTCTCAAAAACATGTCCAGGTCGTGCATCATCCCAAAATAATAACACTTTAAATGCATGGCCTAGCAATTAAAATTGTGCTTAAAAGAGTTGAAATGCTGATGGAGTGATATGAAAGTCTAAAAAGCCAAATGACTATTTTATTAATAGATATGTTTCTATATTTGTATGTTTGTTTAGTTGATCACCATGTAGATAGCTTTGCTGCTGACATGGCATTCAAAAAATAGTAAATATTTTTAATGCAAATTTTGGGATATTGCATAAAAACATTGGATGAAGATGCTCATAACTTCCAAAAAAGAAGACATGTTCGTGAACTACAATTACGTAAATCTCACTGCACACTAGGGGTGGGCGATATGAGCAAAAAATCATATCACGATATTTTTCACTGTCCGGACGATATCGATATTATATCGCGATATGAGAAAAAAAAAATTGGAATCACCAATTCCAATTTTTTTTTTTGTGCCATTTTTTTTCTCAAAAAGTGCAAACATGCAACATGAGGTAGGCCTGAATGCACTTGTTATGTCTTTCCACTTTTTGCTCGTCTTGTCATAATGAGAACCGGCAGCGAATGAAGACTTTATTGATTTCTGAGTGAGAGCCGTCTTCGGGTGTGCTCTGTCTCCGGGAATATCTGTTGTTATAAAACGGTTAGTTCCAATCCTTGATTCTGATTGGTCAATAGCTGTGCTTTATTCACGATAAAACACGGCTATGACCGCTTCACCCAACGGTTCTATGTATCACTACACAACACCCCTAGCAACCACTCTTAGCAACTTAAACAGATGTTTCATCTCATTGATATTGTTCATTTAAAGCTAGAGCAGAGCATTGTGAGAGATCGAGTAAGCGAGTGTACCTGCATTTACAGTAGACGTAGCATTTTCCTTCAGGTCAGTCCTATATTCATAATAAAAAAATGCGTTTGAATGTCCGCTGCATATTTTGTCCTTTTAACAGTCATGGGGTTTTCCGTGCATAACGTTAGTCATCTGTCAGTTGCGTCTGTCTTCTCCGTGATCACAAGTTCGAGTCCTTTCAAAAGCCTTCTCTACAGACTCACTCACTCACTCACTCACTCATAAAGACAGTCTTTGCCGCCATCTATTGGCGAAATAATATATGTAACTTCTGTTGCTGTTCACGTTCCGGGACTATTTTTTCCAGCGGAAGGCAGGCTTTTAGTGATTTTACTTCATGAAAGTTGCATAGATACATATTTTTCGGCTTTAATATTTTTATTGTGTGGCAACCGTTTTATAAAAGCAATAAGGTACTCGAGGCAAGTGCTGTATCGTGACTAAGTAACGGCTGAAGGGGTTGCAGGCACTCCGCTTCGCGTCGTGCCTAACAACGCCCTCCAGCCGTTACTTATTCACGATACAGCACAGCCTCTCGTACCTTATTGCTTACTTATAGTTTTGCTTTTTTAAATTAGTTTTTATTTTAATATCGTTTTCAATTTTGCTTTAAATTTCAGTTTAGTTTTAGCTAGTTTCATTAATGGTTTTATTAGTTTTTATTTAGTTTTATTTTGCATTTCTATATAGTTTTTATTTTATTTAGTTTCAGTTTTAGTAATTATAGTTTAGCTTTAGCAGAGCGAGCAGAACACTTCCAGTGTAGACCAAAGCGAGACGTTTAATTTAAGTTTAATGTTTGCACAGATTACAGTTAACTCTTATGCAGACATCTTAATAATAAAAATAAAATAATGGTTTGAGATTGAACAAAGCACCAAATAAATAAAACTTAAAAGTATACAAGAAAAAAAACAATGAAAATTTTCATACAAACTAATTCATTAGTGTAAGGAGACAGAATAAAGGCCTACAGTTTGTACAGTATAAAACCCATTACGTCTATGGAGAGTCCCCACAAAGATAGTGGACCAGTGTGTGTGTTTGCGCGCTTATGTGTGTGTCGTGTATATGCGCGCGCTTATGTGTGTGTCGTGTCCTGTTATTCATAGCCTAACGTTACATTGCGGGGAAATGTCTCCACGTGGATAATATTATTAGCAGTAAATGTTTTGTAAAAACAAAGATAATAATAGCAGTTTTCAACCTTCATGAAAACATGACATCTCAAACATACAGAAGCCACAAAAAAACTTTAACGTTTTTTTGTGCTTGACGAACTTGTTTTGGTGTTGCACCCGCGTCTCGCAAATGAAACGGCATTCTAAAAATGCTGCGCTCCAGTTAAAAGTCAAACTTGCGTCTCATTACCTTGTTATTTCCCATTCCACCGCAAAAGATGCATCCTTTATGAACAGCCGCTTCGCACTAGCGATGTGTTCTACGGTACGGTCCTTCATTGAACGCGTCACAGGACAGCGGTTAATCGCCTCAGCAACTTCACGCGTATGAAGCGCCAAATCAGCCATTTCCTTAAACAGCGTATTCGATTCTGTATCGTCAGTGTTAACAATTGTAAAGAGTTGGCTACCAAATTGAACAAAACAATATAACTGCAAAATTTGAATTTATGAATACGGTATCCTCGGTATCGCAAAATCCATATCATGGCACAACATAATACCGGTATTCACGTTCATACCGGTATAGCGCCCACCCCTACTGCACACAGTTTTAGTCATTCTGTAATGCCTGAGCCAGTGTCTGTCACTAAAATGAATTGGTATAATAATCTCCCAGAACCGTCACACACATCTCCACTCTCAAACATCAGGCATCCGAACACAAGATCGCACAACAGCATTTCTTATTGCGTTTTGCCTGCGAGCTCTGAGGTGCAAGTCATTTATTATACAGGGAAAAAGAGCCATAGCGGCATAACCATTTTATTATTGATACTTTGTGCCAGTTTACCAGGAAATGATGATTTTATTCTCTTCCACAAACACGGATATTGGAATTGGCACGAATATTTAATGTGATACTCCACTTTTTTTGTTAAATTGGCAACTTTGCATGAAAACAAGTTGGCTTTGAATGAAAGCATCTGCTAAATGAATGTAAACGTAGCTGACGAGAGTATTTTTCACAGAGACTACCGCGCCATCCCGGAGCTGGACCGGTATGAAGTGGAAGGTCTGGATGAGGATGAAGATCTCAGTGAACTCTCGCCCGGAGCTCGGGCCGAAGCTGAAGCGGCCATGAGGCGGCGGGACAGGGAACAGGGCCTCGGCATGGGCCGCATCGGGCGCGGACTCCTCTACGGTGGGCGCTTTAGGCATTGCTAAATAACACTTAACTTTACTGCAAACCACTGAAGATAACAGCTAATGTAGGGCTGCACGTTTAATTGAAATAAAACCAAAATCGGCATATGGCTTAGTGCGATTGATCAAATGATGAGTGAAGCGCGGCACTGTGTTCATTTACACGCGAACAGCTTAGTGCGAAATGTTTGAAAATGAAGACGGCTATAAATGTTAGTATTGCAAGTTTTAATGTAAAACAAAAAAATTATTTTGTTTCTTAATTACATTTTTTTTACAGTGAAATTACAGTAATTTTGTTTTTGTAATGATTCCATACATTACAAAAATTTAAAATTGTTTATATATATATACTGTAATATATGGTATATAATATATGGTACATAGTATATAATATATAGTATGGTATATAATATATGGTACTATATATATATATATACCTAATAGTGTGTGTGTGTGTATATATACATGCATGCCATATACCATATATTATAAACCTATATAACAGTGTGTATATATATATTAGTAATTTTACCATATATCACAATAATTAAAAAAAATTGGCCAAATTGTGCAGCCCTACCAACTCACATAGCCAGTCTGGACTGAAAATCGCAATTATTTCTTTCCCCAAAATGTGTGTAGACATAAGTCAATATCAGTGTATAAATTGTCATTAAACCATAGTCTAACTGTATTTGTCTCTGTGATGTACAGACAGTGAAGACGAGGACGACAAGCGGCCCACGAAGAGGCAGCGTGTTCTTGCGGAGAGGGCAGCGGATGGCGTGGCGCTGGAGGGCGAGGATGAAGAGATGATCGAAAGCATTGAGAACCTGGAGGACATGAAGGGCCACACGGTCCGGGAGTGGGTCTCGATGGCCGCCCCGCGCCTGGAGATCTACCACCGCTTCAAGAACTTCCTGCGCACGCACGTGGACGAGCACGGACACAACGTGTTCAAAGAGCGCATCAGCGACATGTGCAAAGGTGGGTGGTGGACGGTCATCTGGGAAAACCATAGACGAAAAACAATGGACGTAGTGTACGTGACATCACTCATAGGTTTCTAAAGAGCATTTCTGAAGCCCAAAGTGGGCGGAGCTGGACGTCGCCATCTTTATATTGCATCACTCCTTGATAAATGAAAATGGGCAAAGAGGCGGATTAGCTCATAGATATCCATAATAAAGGCTAGATGTCTCGTCCGCGCTGCTGGCTAATGGAGGTCGACGTCCACACCTGGCGGCCATCTTGTCACAGGCAGCTCGCTCACTCTACATTGTGTTTTAATGGTGCATGTACTTTTTAAATAACCATAACTTGCTCAATTTTCTACCGATTTTCAAACGGTTTGGTTTGTTATAAACGTCAGAGATGTAGTTATGACACTGCATACTTATGAATAATAAGTGTATAAATAAATAATCATCCAGAATTATAGCCACGTTAATAACGTTTGTAAGAAACCAAACTATTTTTGTAAATCCGTCAAGATTTCAACGAGATAAGAGTATTTGTGTTCGTGCTGATCACTCATCTTACATCAGGCACCACAGAGCCCGCCTGTGACAAGATGGCCGCCGGTGATGACGATAGAGACTCCGCCGTAAGACATCAAGCCTTTATTATGGATATCTATGGATTAGCTGAGGTGGCGTGACGCTAACAGACAGCAGACAAACGGCTAGTAGTGACATCAGCGGTAATCCACCTGTCACTCAAGTGGCCATGCCCTTAATTATGGAGAACTTTAAGGCTTAATATTATTTAAACGGATGAGTTATAAAAAAATTCACCCCATCACAGTTTTCATGAAGGGCAAAATGACCTATATAGACCAAAAGCACTTTTTGCACCAGGCTATAAACATGTTTTTTTCTGCTGTAAAGTTGGGCATATTAACATGGGGGTTTATGGGATTGACTCTCTTTTGCAGCCTGTCTCTAGTGGGCAGTCGATGAACTGCAGTTTAAGTCTCTTCCGTGTTGGTTTCACGAGCGAGACTGGAAGGCTGCCGCTTGAGGAAAACCATATTGTATAATCCAGACGTTTGACATGATTTTGTGATGTCTTCAGAAAATAAGGAGAGTTTGCTGGTGAACTATGAGGAGCTGGCGTCCAGGGAGCACGTGTTGGCGTACTTCCTGCCGGAGGCTCCCGCGGAGATGCTGAAGATCTTCGACGAAGCCGCGAAGGAGGTGGTGCTGGCCATGTACCCCAAATACGACCGCATCGCACACGAAATCCACGTCCGCATCGGCAACCTGCCGCTGGTGGAGGAGCTGCGATCGCTCCGGTACGAGCAAACCCACTCCTGTTGAGCTTTAGCACTCTTGCTGCTTCAATATAGATCATTTATAGCGGTGTAACGAGACCCTCATGTCACGATTCGATACTGAACTCACGATACGATATTATCGTGATACTCCAAAACATGATAAAAGCTTAACAAAAATGGACTGTTGATTAAAATGCTAATTTGGTGTTACATTGTGGGTGTAATGATTAGGTTTTGACTTGGTGCTGGAAACCCAAAGCACAGGACAATAGAGACACCAGGATAACAATATTCATGATTCTGAAGCTGAAAATACAGAATTATTTTAGATGAATATGCTTGCACTCTTTCACTGATAAGATATATTTAATAAAATGTAGCACTTTTTACTGGTAACATCAGACTTTTGGCATTATCAGGACCCACAAATATTCCCCCATTGCATTATTATACATTATATTCAACATTTAAATCCTTTAAATCCTCGCTTGTCTGGCTTATGCTTCTCTGAGCTATGTCTGACCTTTGTATTTTGAGCACTTCTTGCGTTGTTTTTGCCTCTTCACGATGACTCGCTTTGTTTAGTCCTCAGTTGTAAGTCGCTTTGGATAAAAGCGTCTGCTAAATGACTAAATGTAACATTATATATAGTAGTGTAATGTAGTACTGACACTAAAACTCTAAAAACTTGATTTTTTCTCACAGTAATTTTCATATTGGTTGAACTATACACAGTTCGTTGGACCATTTTTCCTGCCGACCAAAAGTTCGTTATTTCAAATGTAGGCGCGCTCATGATGTAAGAGACGCTGGCGTGACCACAACATTGCCCAACATCAAATGGCAAACGTAATGTAAGCGTAACGAAACCACTCTTTATTGTGTGTTTGACGGACCGTTTATCAGTTTGGACCAATGCAGCGCGAGCCGATCTTCATCATCAGCACTGTTACTACACAGAGGAATCCAGTAAAGAAAGCATTTGAATTCGCCACTGAAGTAATAACATCGCTGCGAGATCCAGTGAGAAACATTCGCATTTCTCCTAGGGCTGTGCGATATGGCCAAAAAATCATATCTCGGTATTTTTTGGTTAAATGGCGATATACGATATATATCTCGGTACTTTCTACGTTTTTCTATTTGGATAAAGAAAATCTGTATTTATTTAAAAAAAAAAAATTCACATCCTGCTCAATGATTTCCAAACAATGGTGATATTGAAGGATATGGAAACAAATATAGTGAATGTAATGTAGGCTATGCAGTATGCAATATATTATGTGCAAAAAGGTGGTTAAATCACATTACATTGTAACATTACAAACTAAAAACAAATATAATTCTTTTGTTTTTAAAATGACTTAAGGCTAAACTAAAAATGAAAATAAAAACAAAAGCACAAACTAATTATATTAGCCTGCATTTGATTACCCCATTATAATGGTCACTTTCATAAAAATATACTTGTAGGTTTAAAATTCCACATATGGCACATTTATTGTCTCCCAACAACAAATATTTTAGCAATAGCCTATGTATATTTTAGTCAGAATTATTGCGCTACTATTCTATTGTGCTCGTCTGTTTGGCGCGCGTGCGTGCGGCGGCGCTCATTAACGGAAGCTTGAATTTTAGCGGAGATTCACTTGCAGAAGCTCGTCCTCTCCTGACAGTGAAATGGACATATTTGTTTGATTTTCTAACATTTACAGATGGAGAATATACCTGTGAAATGTAAGTTAAGCACTGAGGAAAGCACCACGTCTCAAACGCATTAAACAGCGCAAGTATTTATCTGTCAGTCAGCAACAGTCTCTGTCAGAGCATCTGACAGGGCAAGCTGCTTTAAACTTGTTAACTAAATCTTACCAGTTATTTTAAAGCGCTTAATATAAGCTTGTGTCATGTTTAGGACAAATTGTAGGCTACCATACACTTTCACTGCAGGAGCTCACACTGCGTCCTCCGCTATTTTTCAGATGTGCTCGTATCAAACTACTGTATCGATATAAACGGTATCGCCTCATTCCATATCGTGGGGATAAGAAATATCAATATATTGTACAAACTCGATATACCGACCAGCCCTAATTTCTCCGTTATCAGTGGTGGACAGTAACGAAGTAAATGTAATTCGTTACTGTACTTAAGTAGCTTTTTTGCGTATCTGTACTTTACTCAAGTATTTAAATTTTGGGAGACTTTTACTTTAACTCCACTACATTTCAAAGTCAAATATCTTACTTTTTACTCCACTACATTTTCAAAATCAGTCGTTCCTTTTTATTTATGAGTGGATAAAAACGTAACTGGTCAAACGAGCCACCAATGAATCACAGTACAGCGCGCGCGCGCTTTGTTTTGCCTTGGCGGAATCTACTAATCGCGAACCAGGGGTGCGTTTCCCAAAGCCAACTATGGTCGCAAGTTCCGTCGTTAACAATAGAGTTCAATGGAAATTGCGATCATAGTTGGATAACGATGCTTTCGGGAAACGCACCCCAGAGCCGTTAAATATGAGAGTTGCGAACATAGATGTGACAGTGATCTCGCCGACGCGCGGTCACGTTATTCGTGTGGCTCTCAATAGTTCCAAACAAATCGCGTTGACAATGATTTTAAGCGGGACAGAGAGTAGGAGCTATTATTGCAGCAATTATCGGTAAGTATTGACGCATAATGTACTGCTTACGTTGCCACTAAAATGACTTGCATATAATAGCTTTTTTTTCTGGGGAGTAGCCTAGCAGAAACACTGCATTAATACGTTTTTGGGTTTAATTTTGGAGGGAATTGGCTGCTCCCATAACATATAGAATATATATATATATATATATAGGCTATATATAGCCTATATATGTATGTGTGTGTGTGTGTGTGTGTGTGCGCGCGTGAATGTGTGTGTGTGTGTGTGTGTGTGTGTCTGTGTGTGTGTATGTGTCTGTGTGTGTGTGTGTGTGTGTGTGTGTGTGTGTATATATATATATATATATATATATATATATATATATATATATATATATATATATTTAATGGCGTTGTGCAGGTTTATGTGAATGTATCTTAACATTAAGATGTTAATAATTATGACCATAGGCGCTGGAGAAAAATATATACAGTAAATACTGTAAATGTTTTATACCTTATGGGAACAGTCCCCTTCCCTCCAAAATTAAACACACAAAAAATTTATTCAATTCAAATATATATACATACATACAGTATATATATATATATATATATATATATATATATATATATATATATATATATATATATATATCATACTAATTCATGTCATTTCATTAATAGATTGGTGTGCCAAGAGTGACATTAGTCTTCACTTAGACTGAGTTAAGCAAGAGTCTTGTGACAAATTATAATAGGACATTATAGCCATAAAAAAAAAAAATCAAAGTACTTGGATACTTAAGTACATTTGAAGACAAATACTTTTGTACTTTTACTCAAGTGAATGTTTAAAGGCAGCACTTCTACTTTTACTTGAGTAATATTTTACCTTGAGTATCTTTACTTTTACTCAAGTACATGGTATGTGTACTTCGTCCACCACTGTCCGTTATTAACCCTTAAAGACCTGGACCATTTTTGGAGCACCTGCACCGCCTGTTCTTTTCTTTGTTTTTCTAACCCATTATAGCAGTCAGCATCAAGTGCCATATATCATTTTAAACAGGAGAACTTGACGTTTCAATCGATCTCATTTAAATAATCCAATTTAACATTTATTTTATCTTAGAATGGATGAATTTACCAGATTTAAGAAAAACGGCAGCAGATTTTGTGATTATTTTTTATTTTTTTTTTATTTTTACTCAACTCAAACAAATCCTCCTGAAGTTTTTTTTATTTTTTTTAGAAAGCTGTACTTGGATATTCTACATTTCCAGATGTAATTTTGACTACATGTAACAATCCCTAAGCAAGTTATAGACATTTTTTACAACATTATTATAGGTGATTTTCAGTGAAAAGCTGGTATTTTTTATTTACTGACAATTTAGATGTGTCCAAAAAAGTTCAGGAAGTAAAATAAACAGACTGATTGTAATAGAACACTGAAGCAAAATAAACTTTATAAACACACACACACAGACACATATATGAACTACTTTCACTTTACCAAATTTCCAAAGAAAGATGCTAATTGGTCGTGCAAAAGAACAAAAACTATATTTATTGGTTGTGTAGATGATTGTTTCAACCAATCTGGGCATGGGGTGGGACTGAGCATCAACAATCATTCATGATTGGCTCAGAGGAACAACCCACACGGGTTTCTTTGATGAATCAATGCTGATCAAAACTTGATGACGCAATTCACTACGGAGCTTCTGAATGTCCAAACGCGAATAACTGTTCTTAAACATTTAAGAACAACAGTTATTTTTTGCCGCCGCCGGCCGTATAGGTATTTAAGTGTTAACGGATCAAACAGCGCTGACGTGGAAACCAGGAAGAAACATTGTGCCATGAATGAACTATCCAGTGTCCACAGATCAGCAACATTCATCATAGATTTACTGCAGGGTCCGAAATTAACACCCGCCAAGCGCCAAATGCGGGTAGATTTTCCGTTTGGCGAGTAAATCTCAAAAGGCTATCCGCCCCACTGGCGGGTGAATGTTCATACCAAAATAGTAATGTAATAAAATGTTTATAACAATTGCATTTTGTAATGTTATAAAATATCTGGCATGAGGGCTCGGATTTGTTGTGTTTGCCAGTAGGGATGGGAATTGAACTGCTGCGCGTGTGACAGGGCGCAACTGAAGAACGAGCAGAGAGAGAGAGAGCCCCGGTCGCACGCACTCTTTCTCTTCGGACTCGGAGCCAGGCGAAAGTATAAACAAGGCTTGACCGTCTCCTAAGCGCTGTCTTGCTCTCTCTCCCTGGCACATATTGATCAAAATAAATCGACACGATGGTAAAAGGTCGGAAGACCATAGTTTCATGTGGAGCATTCGGATTTGTTTTTCTGAATTACCGCTGGGTGTGAATTGTGCTAAAATACCTTATCTTCTCTGAAAAGCGTTCCGCACATTCAGCTGACATAACCCACACTTTAAATAAACGAAAAAACCTATCCAGGGATTAAATGTTTTCTGTGTTGACACAAATCTTGAGGGATGTCCCAACCGCCGGGATAATCACACAACGCGAACACATCCGATAATGACACGTCCGATTCGCGAACTAATGACTCCTTTGAACCGATTCATTTTAACGAATGGTTAAAACAACTGATATTTCCAGTCCTTCAGTTACTGATCGGATCAGTCAAGAGTAAATGCAGTAGAAAAATAGGCAGAGTAAAACTTTTTTTTGTTGTTGAAATAATATATTATTATTGCATATATTTTATTAAAAATACAATTAATACATTTCATTTGTACAGAACTATTTTCATTGGCACCACCACAAAAATATTATTTTAATGTGTGTAAATTGTGTAATATGCGTGTAAATAAAAGTAAAAATGGAAAATAATAGACCAGAAATATAATGACAAAAATGTTTAAATATACCTATATATAAATTAATGTATATGTGACACAAAAAGGCTGTTTATTATTTTTGGCCGGTAAAAAATATGTGTGGCTGGTGGATTTTTTCATCTACCAGTCCCCGTGGCAGGTGAGCCAAAAAGTTCATTTCGGACCCTGATTTACTGTAGTAACTCTACTAACTGTAACCATGGGAGTTTGGCAGGAATAGTCGGCTATAATGCTTTCAAGTAACATTACGTTGGTTTTATTTCGACATTATCGTTAATACAACTGCTGCCCTCAAATGTTAATCTGAGCTAAATAAACCTTTGTTTATAACTACTACAATATTACATTTCATTTTGTCCAAGGAGCTGTTTTGTTTTATAAGCTCCTAAGAAAAGTCAAGTATAGCTCCATCATTGCTCAAAGTAAAAAAATATCATACTTTATGATGTTAGTTTTAATAAAAATATAAATCAAGGAAATTTCTCTGGCATTTCTTTCTTTTTGCTGTATCGAAAACGTACCAAACCGTGACACAAGTGTATCATATCGAACCCAACCGTGAATTTTGTGAACCGTTACACCCCTACTATCCACATAGTGCGATATATTGTTACACCCCTAATAATCGCTATATTTGTCTATATGGTGTTTGCAGGCAGCTCCACCTGAACCAGCTGATCCGCACCAGTGGGGTCGTGACCTGCTGCACTGGGGTCCTGCCTCAGCTCGGCATGGTGAAGTACAACTGCAACAAGTGTAACTTCATCTTGGGCCCGTTCTTCCAGTCCCAGAACCAGGAGGTGAAGCCGGGCTCCTGTCCCGAGTGCCAGTCGCTCGGACCCTTCGATATCAACATGGAGCAGGTGCGTGAGGAGCATCATTACCCGTACAGATGAAGGCTGATGTTATGAAACGCACATATCTAGCTCATTTTCACCTCCAAATCAAAGAAAAACTGTTCTTGCAGAAAGAAAATTAAGTCTTTTTTTTTAATGAGCATTAATAATTTTAGTTTTTTTGCTTTATTTTTATGGCACTTAAGCACCTTTTCACAATTAAATTAAAATATTAGTTATGTCTGCCTTATACATTAAAATTCATGCCACAATATACTATAGGATCAGTGTAAATTCAGTACAATTACCACTAATGTGGCAACACTTTAGGATCCAGTTCTCTCTTTTACCCACGACTTTTGCCTCGATGAACTCCTAATTTCTGCTTACTGATAGTTAGTAATGTAGTTGTTAAGTTCAGGTATTGCGTAGGATTAAGGGATGTAGAATAAGGCATTAATATGTGCTTTATAAGTACTAATAAACAGCCAATGTCTCATTAATATGCATGCTAATCAGCAACTAGTTAATAGTGAGAATTGGACCCTAAACTAAAGTCTTAACAAACCTGTATATAAATTATATTTTAAATGTACACATTTTTATGTATGTGTATATTACTAATACAAATTAAATGTAAATTATATATTATTACTATCTATATATATATATATCTATCGATTTCTATATAAAGAACACTTAAATAAAATAGTGCATATAGCATTTGTGTCTTCAGTTATTTGGTTACATAACATGTTCTTGACCGTTTTCATGAGGTTCATCCATATTTGTTATTTCACCTGATCCAAATTTTAGAGGTTAAAATATCCAAAACTATTTTATGTATGAATTTAGTGTTTATATTATTAAATAACAAGCTAATATATATATTAGAAATGAAATTCTCTCTGCCTAAGATCCTTGCTTGTGCCTTCATGTACACGTGTTGACGAGACGAACCCTAATCTCGGTTGTGCCAGCTGTTGCCATGGCAGCTCTCTGTTCTGCGGATGTTAACTAGCGTTCTTGCCTTCATCAGACCGTCTATCAGAACTACCAGCGAATCACCATTCAGGAGAGTCCTGGGAAAGTGGCGGCGGGACGCCTGCCTCGCTCCAAAGACGCCATCCTGCTGGCCGACCTGGTGGACCACTGCAAACCTGGAGACGAGATCGTGAGTCCACACACACACACACACACACACACACACACACACACCATTACTGTTTAATCCTCTAATAAACCAGCCGAACTCAGCAATCCTTCACCGGCACTGGAGATGACAGATTTGAGGCATAAGATGAAGTTCGTAATTAAACGTGGACTTTAAAACCTTTTTGAACATTAAATATCTTTTTGGAAAAAAAAAAATCACAATATTGAACTATATTCACATAACTACGTAATAAAACATGTACCCAAATATTTCAATTTCAACCTGTAAAAAAAAAAAAAACTTAAGTTTTAAATAATTTCACTATAACTATATCAAATAATATTAAAGCAAAATATGCCCCTCTAAATGTATGCATTCCCAATATAACAAATATTTGAATATATAGATTTAAATAAAATATACCCTAATGTGTTTTGGCAGGAGCTCACAGGAATCTACCACAACAACTACGACGGCTCCCTCAATATGGCTAACGGCTTCCCTGTGTTCGCCACCGTAATCCTGGCCAATCACATCGCTCGTAAGGATGAGGGCGTGGCCGTGGCGGAGCTCACCGACGAAGACATCAAAGCCATCATGGCTCTGTCCAAAGACGAACGCATCGGAGAACGGGTGCGTGATGCTCACACACTTCCACAGTTTAATGCGCATCTGAAGGTTTCTCCAGACTAAGCTTTCATTTTCCTCGTACAGATTTTCGCAAGTATTGGTCCTTCCATCTATGGGCACGAGGACATTAAACGCGGCCTGGCGCTCGCTCTGTTCGGCGGCGAAGCCAAAAATCCAGGTATCTTCATCTTTCACAACTGTTACTTTAAATATTAGTGCTGGGCAACGATTAATCGTGATTAATCACATCCAAAATAAAAGTTTGTTTACAGGTGAAACTAAAAAAATTAGAATATCGTGCAGAAGTTTATTTTATTTCAGAAAATTCAACTTAAAAGGTGAAACTAATATATTATATAGACTCATTCAAAGTGAGATTTCAAGCCTTTATTCGTTATAATTTTGATGATTATGGCTTACAGCTTATGAAAACCTTTTCACAATATTCTAATTTCTAATTTGGGGTTTTCATAAGCTGTAACCATAATCATTAAAATTATAACGAATAAAGACTTGAAATCTCACTTTGAATGAGTCTATATAATATATAAGTTTCACCTTTTAAGTTGAATTACTGAAATAAATGAACTTTTGCACGATATTTATATTTATCGAGTTTCACCTGTACATTATGTGTGTATTGTGTATAATTATTTGGTGTATATATAAATACACACACGCATGTATATATTTAAGGAATATATGCATGTATATACTGTATATATAGTTATATTTATATATTTAAGGAATATATGCATGTATATACTGTATATATAGTTATATTTATATATTTAAGGAATATATGGATGTATATACTGTATATATAGTTATATTTATATATATGGAATATATGCATGTGTATACTGTATATATAGTTATATTTATATATATGGAATATATGCATGTATATACTGTGTATATATAGTTATTTATATATATATATATATATTTTTTTTTTTATGAATAACAATTTTTTCTTAAATATATACATGCATGTGTGTATTTTCATATATATATTACTAAATAATTATACACAGTGACAGTACACACATACATTATGACAACTTTTATTTTGGATGCGAGTAATCATTGCACAGCCCTGTTAAATATACGAGTCTGGTACTGTATTTTCTAGCAGATGAAGCTTGGCTTGGTTCAAGTGAGTGATTGTGTCTCAACAGGCGGGAAGCACAAGGTGCGCGGCGACATCAACGTCCTCCTGTGTGGAGATCCAGGCACGGCCAAGTCCCAGTTCCTGAAGTACGTGGAGAAGATTGCGAGCCGGGCGGTGTTCACTACGGGACAGGGCGCCTCCGCTGTGGGTCTGACGGCTTACGTCCAGCGCCATCCCGTCACTCGAGAGTGGACGCTCGAGGCGGGAGCGCTGGTGTTGGCGGACCGAGGAGTCTGTCTCATCGACGAGTTTGATAAGGTGCGATAACGTTTGAGTTAGCAGTTTGTAGCTTTGACCCTCTGGTGCTCTTGAACGAAACATTTTACATTTGTCTTTTACTTCATCGGAATGGTACAAAACTTGTTAAATGTTTTGGCACTTGCTGTGTGAACACAAAATAAATCATGGACATGATTCGAACAGGTTAAATGGTCCTGTAAAAAATAGTTACACTTGCATTGTTTGTGATAAAAAATTAGCGCATTGGAAATGAATGGGAAACAAGTTTGGAAACTTGAAACTGACTGAAAGCGGGTTTTTTTATTTTAGATATCAAGCTCAAATTTTGAACACAACTTTAGATTTATGGCTTTGATTTTCTCACAATTTTAGAGTAAAACATGTTTTTGGAAAATACAAAAATTCTGTAACTTAAGTTCACTTTTTAATACCTTTTTCACTTTGAAAAGAGATTTACGCAACTTAAATCTGTATTTTTGAATTGTTTTCCTAACAATAAACGTAAAACTAGCTTGTTTTTTTTTTAAGTACACTTTTTTTCACTTCAGCAATAATCTGCCAAATGTCGTCTTTGAAAAGAGATCAAACTGAAATCTAAAGCATTCAAGATTTATGATTTACAAGATTTAAATTGGAAATGTAATTTTCAGGTCTATGCTCAAAAAGTGAGTAAATGGATAATAAATACAGCGTAAATATAATTTAGTACCAAAAAAATCCCCTACAAATACAAAATATGAAATAAAAAACAGTATCTAACTAAAACGGTACATTATTTACATTGAAAAAAAAAAAATTCAGTCACTTTTTGAGCAACACCCGAAGAGCACCAGAGGGTTTTGATGCAGTTCCACCAATTTTTGAGTCCATATTGCAATGTTTTGGTGAACACCCGAGTGACCGTGTAAGTGTGCTCTGTAGATGAACGACCAGGACAGGACCAGCATCCACGAGGCCATGGAGCAGCAGAGCATCTCTATTTCTAAAGCTGGGATCGTCACGTCGCTACAGGCTCGCTGCACCATCATCGCCGCCTCCAATCCTATCGGTGCGTTCTGGGACTGGTGACGGAGCGGTTTAATAAAACTCTAATGAGGGTCATAACTTCAATTCTGCCGTGGGCACTTTGAGTTGCATGTTAATCCATAGCGCAGTCAGGTTTTAAATGACTTCCTGCTGGGCTAAACGTAGCAGCGGCGCTTCTGACACCATTCATTTTTCTCATGAAACTCTTCTTTCTTTTTAAAGGTGGGCGCTACGACCCGTCTCTCACGTTCTCTGATAACGTGGACCTGACGGAGCCCATCATTTCTCGATTTGACGTTCTGTGCGTCGTGAGAGACACCGTCGACCCTGTCCAGGTGAGTCAATATCTCGTTAATATGCATGCTAATACGCAACTAGTTAATAGTGAGAATTGGACCCTAAACTAAAGTCTTACCAAAAATGATATATAAACCTGTTTATAAGGTTATATTTTGAATGTACAAATTAGGGCTGTCACTTTTACGTCTCAAAAATCGATCAGGATTTTTCCACAAGTGTTCATTGAATCGATTGTAAAATAGATTTTCCATGTCTAAAGACGTTTCCATTTTCAACACCAAATACAGGCAAATCCACGGACACCTAACAGGCATGAGAACGAGCGTAAAGAGGCGCTTGAGACGCGCACAAGTCGCAATATTTCTGATGATTTATTGGCGTGATGTTTCGTGCACAATGACAAACAGGAGCGCAACATTCAGGGATTGAAATTAACTCCCTCGACCCTGCCAAACGCGGGTAAAAATGAACTTTGGCGGGAAACGCTGTCAAATCACGAGCCAATCTGGCGTGTTTCTGTGTTTACTCAGTTTGCTGTGGAAGTTCGTGTAAGACAAATCTGCGCGGATTTAGCGCAAATACGCAACTCGTGATCCTCACGATATATTTAATACAGCGTATCGCACAGAATCTGCGCATTTCTGGCTTACTTGAACACACACGTCACTAAGCAACAAATAACGGCGCGCTTGTTCAATTGCATTGAAGTAATAGCGAATTTGGTGAACAGAAAAGACATTATTTTCCAGCATCCTACATGCTCTGATACTGTATTGATCTGTCCACCTAAAACACATTTTAAAAAAAGAAAGAAAAAAAGGCCGTTAAAATCGATTCCCTATTTTCGTTTTCGAAACTTGTGTTGGTTGTTCCGATCGATTGTGCAATCGATTTTTGAACGTAAAGTGACAGCCCTAGTACAAATACATTTATATTAAATTAGATGTAAATTATATATTATTACGATCTATGTATCTATATCTATTTCTATATCAAGAACACTTAAAGAAAATAGTGCATATAGCATTTGTGTCTTTAGTTATTTGGTCATAACAAATATGGATGAACCTCATGAAAACGGTCAAGAACATGTTATTTCACCTGATCCAAATGAAGAGGTTGTCTATTAATCAACTTTTCATTTTATGTATAATTTTAGTCATTTGACATTCAAACAAACTTTGCCGATTACATTACCCATAATGCAATTCTCTGCGTTCAGGATGAGATGCTGGCTCGCTTTGTGGTGGGCAGCCACATCAAGCATCACCCGAGCAACAAAGAAGGGGGCGTGGCCGGTTTAGAGGAAGTGTTGCTCCCGAACACCTCGGATGCCCCCCCCATCCCGCAGGAGCTGCTCAGGAAGTACATCTTATACGCCAAAGAGCGCGTGCGGCCCAAACTCAATCAGATGGACCAGGACAAGGTGGCCCGGATCTACAGCGACCTTCGAAGAGAGTCTATGGTGAGTCGCTTTGAGCTTGAACACTAGTTTAAGATGCTTTACTAGGGTTGCTCGATTAATCAAAATAAAGTAGTGGGATTGTCAAATCGCATTTCATTACATAAACAGTCAAACCAAAAATGATTCAGACACCAGATATAATTTTGGATATTTTTTTACTAGTGGGTGCAGGACACTATAGTTAACTTATTGTAAGTTAGGAGACCAAAATAAAGGAAACTGGCATTACACCCAAATTCTTTGTAAACTACCAGTAAAATTTATAAAAATGTGACCAGAAATGATTCCTCCACTTTGAGCTGATCATGTGTGTTTTCTGTAATTGCTAATGCTCTTTTTACACACAGACTGAACAACATGAAGCATTGCTTGGTCACTGGTTGAGCTAAACTGGTATTATCTAATTGTGTAGTTAAATTTAACAGCTGACAGATATTCAGCATAATTCATGTGTGAGAGTCTAACAGAAGGACGGACAAAACCAGTCAAATATCCACTGATCTGAGAACTCTGAGTTCTGCTCATATTTCATTACCATTTTCTATACCATAGCGAATAAACTGATAATGTGAGAAATGTTGGAGTCTGAATACATTTTGGCTTGACTGTATGCGCTGCATGTTTCAGAGTAAATCGCAGCACTGTGTTCTTAAACATGAACAGCTTATGCTTAAAAAAAAAAAAATTTTATAGTGAAATATTACTATAGTGATATTTCTTTTGCTTCTAGTCATTTTTATATTTATATTTCGTTTATTACTATCATTAGTTTGTAGCCATATTGATATATAATCACAAAATGTTGGCTAAATTGTGCAGCTCTTACAGCATAAGCACAGCAAACTTGATTTTTTTTTTTTCTTGTTTAATCATCATTTGATTATATTTCATCATTTTAAAATTCAAATGATGAAACGAAGAGCATTTAAAAGTGTGGATTATGACATTTTCAAATTGATCCGCTTTCATCAATGAGCTTTTTGGAGATGCAAAGGCGAAAACCTGGATTGTTTTTTTTAAATCGCATTTTTTTCCCCCGGAAAAATCGCAATTAGTTTTTCTACACATTTTGCAGCCATTGGGTCTCATTCATGAAACATTCGTAAATATACGAGTGATTTGTGCGTAAAGAGACCTTCCCGAAAACACTTCTCCTGATTCACAAATACTTCGTAAACGTCAGATGTGATAGTGAAATGTGTGTGTGTGTTAATGAATTCCAATCAGTCATAAATGGGATGCGCGTGCACGCTCATTCTCAATTACCATAAATCCCGCCCATTAAATCCGACTGACAACTATATATGGGCATCATATTATGACATGAATGCAAATTAAAAAAAAAAATTCTCAAATGCAGAAATTGAAGTTTTATTATCAGAAGTTCATTCAAAACGCCACATTTTATTTTCAAGCGTACATAGTGGCGTATCGGGTCCTAAAAAAAAGGAAGCTTGGCAGCATATTACAGATGCAGTTAATGGAGTTTCATCTGTTAATCGAACAGTCCCAGGAGTGAGAAGAAAATGGTTCGTCATTAAGCTTGAGAGCAAAAAACGAATAAGTTCACTTCGGAAAAATCGTATTCAAACTGGAGAAGGACCACCATCGCAGATGCTATTACTGGCTCTCATAATAAGAAAAACCGTATGTAATTACTATATATCATATTTTTTCAAAATGCTGTGCAAATATGTACCCGATTAAGGTGAATTAAAATGCAGCCTTATTAATGAGCAAAACGTTCGGGTGTTAAGCGCACTATTTACGCGTGGCTGGGAGCAGGTGTAGATTTCTTGTGTACCAACTAACATTTGGAAAATACGAACATTTTAATGAATCCGAAAATTTACGCCAGAACCACTTTACACATGATTTACACACAAATTCGTTCTGCTCGTGTTTCATGAATGAGACCCATTCTTTTTAAAATTCTTCAAATGTTTCCCAAAATCTGCACAGAGATCCTGAAATGTTTGTTGTTCTCAGTTTAATGATACATGTTGTCTGGCAGGCCACAGGAAGTATCCCGATCACCGTGCGTCACATCGAGTCCATGATCCGCATGGCCGAGGCTCACGCGCGCATGCACCTGCGGGACTACGTGCAGGAGGACGACGTGAACATGGCCATCAGGGTCATGCTGGAGAGCTTCATCGACACGCAGAAGTTCAGCGTGATGAGGAGCATGCGGAAGGTGAGCTCTTCGTACAGATCCGGGATCAGTTCTGCAAGTCTTGTCCGGTTCAGTTGCTAACCGAAGTGTTTCCACAGACGTTCGCACGGTATCTGGCCTTCAGGCGGGACAACAACGAGCTGTTGCTCTTCATCTTGAAGCAGCTGGTGTCTGAACAGGTCTCGTATCAGCGCAACCGTTACGGAGCCCAACAGGACAACATCGAGATCGCAGAGAAGGATCTGGTGGACAAGGTAACTAATAGATGCGTTTAAAAAAAAAAAAGTTCCAGAAAGTACTGAATCACTGGCATGTTACACGTGTCATGTGTGAATTTGAGTTTTAACTCGAGTCTTTATTTTTGTCTTCAGGCTCGACAGATTAACATCCACAACCTGTCTGCGTTTTACGACAGCGACTTGTTCCGCTCGAACAAATTCTCCCACGACGGCAAGAAGAAGCTCATCGTCCAGCAGTTCTAGGCAGGATTTGTTGCATAGACTTGTATATAATTCCATCATGTGGTTATTGGACCAGACGTTACATGGATTTAATATTGTTTTTGGTCCAGTCATGAACTTGTTACCGTAAGGCGTAGTGTTGTGCTCGACTCATGTGCTCGCTCTTGGCTGCATGTGACATCTTGAATTCTCCCTGTTGTCAAATTATTTGAATGTTGTAAAAATGGAAAAATAACTTTTGTACTGTTACTGAACAATAAAATTGCGTTGTGTATGTAATTGACCGTTTGTTTAAATGATTACGCTAGTGAAATCTCTGCTTTCTGTCAGGAAATGTAAAATAACTAGTTTACTAAACGACAATGGTCTTGTTTGTGTGGAAGCTTATTTCCGCCACGATATAAAAAAGGTAATCGTGACCTCACATTTCTGACTTTTCTCGCAGATTTAAGTTTATATCTTGCAATTTCAGCTTTTTGACTCACAATAATAATAGGGTTTATTTATAATGCGCTTTTCTCACACCCAAAGCGCTACATTTCGAAACTCGCAATTGCAAGATTATATCTCAATTCTGAAAAACTATTTTTTTTTTTAAATAAACTAAATACATACATTTTTTTCTTTCTCAATTGCGAGTTTGTACCTCGCAATTCTGACTTGGTTTTCTTGAAATTTTTAGGTTTTATCTCGCAACTCAAGTAAATCTCAGAATTGTGGGTTAGAAACCGTTTATCTGTCTTTATTTCTTGCAATTCTGATGTCTTGTAATTTAAAAATAATAATTAAAGGGAAGACTTTACAATAAGATTTGTTAGTTAACATTTACTACTAATGAACTTCACATACAGCAGTTATTAACCTTTGTTAATGTTACTAATGTACTAATACTTTATTAAAATCTTGTTAACAATGTACTGTGAACTAACAATGAACAGCTTTTTTTATTATTAAACAACGTTTACAAAGATTAACAAATACAGTAACAAATGTAATTGCTCATTGTTAGTTCATAATATTAACTAATGACGTTTATAGTAAAGTGTTACTGTTGATTGTAAATAGAGCGTTCTGATTGGTCGACGACAGGTTTCCATCGCTGGCCGTTTCGTGCTGTCGCTAAAGTAAACCCGGCGGTGTTTAGGACCCAGCATCCCTGCAGTCACTGCGCCAGGCAGGAATCAAACCGTCCAAAATCCTCAATATATCCCTGCTAATTCATTGACTGCAAGAGGAGCAGCAGACAAAACTCCCGTCTAGTTTTCCTCGCATTTCTTGCCCAGTGTTTATCACGCGTGTCCAGATAGATAGGCGGATGAAGCGCGAGACTATCGACTGACCTTCTGTTTTTAATTCCGATGAGTATTTGGTGCTCGTGCGTCTCTTCTCGCGCACGCTGAGGTCAGTAAGTCACGTATGATGCACATATGAACGAACTGTAATACTGACGCGATTATTCCTCACTGCGATCATTTAAAGCTGCAGAGATGTCAGTTGTGTCTATTCAGTGCCTGATGTTTGGTGAGTTAATTTTTTTTTGTTTTTTTGTATGTGTGTGGAATGAATCAATGTTTGCATGTAGATTTTTGTGTATTTTAAAAATATTTTAAAGTATAAAATATTAGTTTTATTATTAAAACAATAACTATTATTAATCTATTTTATAAATGAATGTATTTGTGTTTTAAAATATTTGTCAAGCTACTGATAATTTCATGATTTAATCATTAAAAAGCCTCAGATGTCTGATAATGTGGTAGAGTAAGCACAAGGTTTGATTTATAATGCTGTGTCCGAGACCAATTTGCATCATGACCAAGACTTTTCATTGTCGCGATGAGTGGAGAAAAGGGTTTATTGTTTTCTAAGAGGATCATTTGTTATTTTTTTTTATGTGGTCGTCATCATATCCAATATCTTGTATGAAAAGTCCAGTCACTCATGATTCAGATATTTGAGTTATTGATCTGTAGTGCAGATTACGGCACACGCCCCTTTCCCTCTCTATCTAGAGGCGAGCTGGTGTATTCAGGTCCAGTCAGGATTTTCAGCATGAATCATCATGTAACTGAGAAAAGAGCATTTTGCAGCTGTTGTGGACACTGATTGTTTTTGACATGCTGTGTGTGTGTGATAGCTTGTCATGCCCATGAGGCCTGGGCTGACAGATTGTGCTGGTCAAAAGGCTCTCTGTGCTGCTGTCCACACAGACCGATGACCAGACACAACAAGGACAGGTCAGGTTTGTTTAGTTTAATGGCCAGCACAGATTCAGGCGTAATCCAAGTCCATGTTCAACATCACATTCCACACTGGCATTTGTTCATGTCCTGATTTAATGTGCATTTGTGAGTCTTTGCTCTCCCTTTCCTACACTATTGTGTATTTTTTTAAACATACACAGTTAATATCTTGGTTTTCTGAGAAGTGCATTGGAGTACTGTGTAAATACCATGGTATCACTGTGTTTTAGGGACATATGTGGTAGAGTAATCACAAGGTTTATATTATCTTATTTCATATACTTAATCGTAGGAAAGTAATTGTACTAGGGTTATTTTTAAACAATTTTTACTCAGAAATTGCTGGTAAATTTTACATTTACAAAGAAATGGCAACTGACACATTGAATTAAATGTGAAAGACTGAAATACTATAGTATTTTCTTGTAAAAACACTCCAATAATCTTTTATTTACAACTTTTACAGTGTACCATGTAAATATCATGGTATATGCATTTCATTGCCATGATTTATAGAATACTGTGGCATTTTTGGACATGCTACCATAGGGTTTTTTTTGCAATTCCTTGCATCATGTAAATACCATGGTATTTGTCAAAGTAGTGCACATTTTTGTTGTGTTACTATTGTACAATTCTTACAATTCGTTGAAATACCTTGGCGTACCATACAGTAAACATTTCATGTCAGGGAATTTGTCAAAATGCTGCATTGCCATTTAATTTAGGTTATAGTCGTGGTATCATGTTAATGGCATTGTGGTTTTTTTTTTATCAATTCCTTGGAGTACTATGTAAATACAACAGTATATCAGTTTATTTCCCTTTTTTGTGGTCTTACTATGGTAACACACTGCTTTTTGAACTTATACCATGGTATTTTTTGAAGTACCTTGGCGTGCCATATAGTAAACATTTGAACTCATAGTCAAAGTAGCCTACAGTATTGCCTAGGGATGCACGATATTATCGGCCACCATATCGGTATCGGCCGATATATGTAAATTTTTAATGTTATCGGCCTGATAAGAAAATTTGGCCGATATATTAAAGCCGATAAATAATGTATTATTTCCTTAAGCTGAGACACTTCAAATGGACACTGCTCGCCATGATGCTTGAAATATGATTGAAATCACTTCAAAAAAGGAAAATACAGTTCAGTGCAACATGTGCGGCACAAGTCTGTCATATCGGCTATAATGAGAACGCTATAATTGTGTGTTTGGGTCATGGATTTTAATGGTAAGACTTTTGTTTTTGACTTTTTGTAATCAGGCTCTCACAAACTATATAAAAATTTGGATTTAGATTTATCAGCCAATATATCGGTTATCGGTTTTCAAATATAGAGAATTATCGGTATCAGCCAAAATGTTCATATCAGTGCATCCTTAGTATTGCCGTTTAATTTAAGTTGTAGTTACAGTATCATGGATATATCATCTTTAATTGGACACATACCATACGGAGAGCAATTTAAATACCGTAGTATAGAAATACGGTAATCATTCAGTACTATGGCACCGCTCGTGCTCTCTTTAGCAGTGACAGCAACCGCAGACCTGCAGCTGCCAGTCTGGCGACTATAAATCTGAGTCCTAGTGCTCGATGCCACCGACACCCACAGGCTCTGCTGCAATGCAAGCTGGCACAGCCCAGAAACACATTCAGGTCAGGTGACATCAGCATTTATCTCGACTTCATCTCCGAGAAGAGAAGAAAAGAAAAGGGACGGGGAGGTTTTAGAAAGACGTGGGGATAAGAAATAATTGGCAACCGGATAAATTCTCAGTGTGTTGCTGAAGTCCAGGTGCCTCACGCTTTAAATTGGGCCAAGCTTTGGTGGGATTGAGGATTTGTGAATCATCTTATCCTGTGTTCAGGTTTTCCTCGGCTCTTTCACAGAGTCTGAGACTGGCGCTGGAGAAACTGCTTGTATATTTAGTACAATAGCTGCTATGTGACGGATTTGTGTTCGTATCAGATGGCGTGGGATTGGTCTGAACGGATGAATGTGCACTATATTAAGACTTCTGAAATCAGTCAAACAGAAACAGGTGCTATGATATGAAACCACAGTGTCAAGAACATGTCTGAGGCATATTTCACATCTTTAGCAAGATATTTCCTCTTGTTTTGTTCTTCAAGCTAATGGACAAATGTGACCCTGGACCACAAAACCAGTCACAGGGGGCAATTTTATGAAATTGAGATCTGAAAGCTGAATAATTAAGCTTTCCATTGATGTTTGTTAGGATAGGACAATATTTGGCTGAGATTCAACTATTTGAAAATCTTGAATCTGAGGGTGCAAAAAAATCGAAATATTAAGAAAACCTTTAAAGCTGTCCATTTGTGTTCGTGCTTTTGCTGCATCCACTCACAAAAATATATTTTGTAATATATTTGCGGTAGGAAATTTACTAAATATCTTCATGGAACATGATCTTTACTAAATATCCTAATGATTTGTGGCATAAAAGAAAAATCAATAGTTTTGACCCTTACAATTTGCCACAAATATACCCGTGCTACTTCTGACTGGTTTTATGGTCCAGGTTCACAAATGTTTTATCTTCAGTTTCATCCAGTTTATCCAACTCTCTCCCCGTTGTGAATATCCCGGACAGGGTTTGTTGCCGCAGAGCCTCTATAAACGAGGTATTAGCTGTTATGATTAATGTACTATCTAACGCTTGTCTGAACTTTGAGAGCTTCTCTGGGGCGGAAAGGCCAAGGAGCGTTCCTCAGAGATAGACGTGCTTGGGTTTAGCCGTCAGCAAATTCACATTTTTCATTCACTTATCAAGCGAGGTCATAAATAGCCTTGCAGAAACCGGAGTCCACTGAGGCAAAATAAGATTGCGTCAACCATAATTAATGTGATCTAGTGGAGTGAGACATTGACGCTTTCTAAGGACGTAAGGTGACCGGGTGGATGCCACTGCACTTTTTGGGCTGGTGTAAGGATTGGTAGATGTTTAGTGCAATAGAAAGATGGAGGAAAATACATTAGTTACACCCCCAGAATGTAACTAATTATATCCTTTTGTTTTTTTGTTAGTGACAATGTAGGGATTTCAAGCTCATCATGAACACAATGAAAGTAGTCCCTACGGCTTGTGCACTATTCTTTTGAAGTCATTTGATACTTTTGTTTTAAGATTAGACACAAGTCATTAATCACAAGTCGATAATCTTAGCTCTGAAATCTTATTTGAACTTGTCAAGAAAGGTCACGTGACACTCAAGGGTCAATGGCGTTCTCAGCATCATTAAGTTTTCAGCTAAAATTTGGAGACTACGCACCATGGCAGCTAAATGTTTGTCAAGCGAACAAATTTTGGAGAATTGTATACTAGCATTTTTTCTGCATGTGTACGACATTCAACTTCAAGTGGCATTCTGTTACACTTTTCCAAGTAGGACGCTGGATATTCAGACTTTTCGAGTTGAATGGAATAAATGTAGTATGTTTTGTTTCCACCTGTATTAAAGGGGTGGTTCAGGATTTTGGACATCGGGCCTCATTTCCAAGTTAGCCTTAGTGTTATTTAAACTGTTTTTAATGGCAGGCTAGCAGTTACCGTTGACTCGTGCTAGCCTAGCACCGGCGAACTATGCAACCGGAACGACTGGTTTAAAATTTTTGAAAACTGTCTCCACTGATAAATAACACTAAGGCTAACTTGGAAATGAGGCCTGATGTCCAAAATTCTGAACCACCCCTTTAAGATGCGTTTTGGTTGATTGGATAACGACGCTAAATACAGATGTAAACGGGGTCTAAAGCGTTTTGAGCTTGTCCACTTTCGACCACTTCCAGAGGTAGTCAAAAACGCATTCAACTGGATTGCTTTCGTAGTGACTCTCATGTGATCGAATGTGTCCGAACAGCCACAAAAGACCATATACTCTCCGCCTACTGACCTAATGTGTAAATATTATAGGAAGCGCTCTAGCCAGACGGGATTTAAACTTTGTAGGCTGGAGACCCTGGTTTGAACATCCCAAGCACAATGTTCTCTCAGCATTCCTGATTTCTAACACACACTCGCAGCGTTCGACTGGTCTTGCGGCTTTTAGAGCTGAAACGAAAGCTGATGCTCTTGATTATTTTCCCGCGTTCATATGTAAATTGCGCAAGCTTATTTTGTCCATTAGATCGAAAGATCTGAAAAAGCCCATACATTTACCCGCCCATAGACCCTCCCCTCGAAGAAATCAGAACAGAAGTGGTTGAAAGTGGACAAAAGAGACGGATTAAAACACCAGGTGTAAATGGGAATGTGTCTTGTGATCCAATCGACCAAAACAGACCAGATGTAAACAGGGCCAAAGTGGTCTTAAGCTTGTCTTTGGCTTATAATCAACGCATTTACTCAGTAAATGTCATTTGGTTATCTGGGATTATGCTCTCCAACAGCCTTCTGGTTTGGAAATTTCTCCAACATTGCATGGCTCAAGTTCGCTGGACGTCCAGGGTCTTCAGAGTCTCTAAAAACCACTGGAACGTTTCCAGAAAGTTGATCTATTCATAAATTGGAGCAGGAAGTGCCCAGTTTTTCCACCCTTTTAATTACCGCACAATCACACACTTGCTAAATATAATACCAGAGTCACATCAGCCTGCTGGTCTCCTTAATTAAACCAAACCTCGCTAGAGAATATGTTTCATTAAACAGCTCCATGAATAAAAACTAAAGCCCTGTCAGACTTAGAGAACTGTGTAATTGGCTTTGAAACTCCATCTTGGCTCCAACGGAAGGCTAGTTGCAGATTTCAGGCCAGTTGTCGCATTTTCTCAGCTGCCCAGTGTTAAAACCAGCGCTAATCCTGTGGTGACCTGGTAGGACGAGGAAAGATAAGACTGGCTGGTTTTAGACACAATGCTAAGCCTCCATGATAGGAAGCCATCTGTGGTTGAAGCCCATTGAGGCCAGGACTCGAGATGTCTCCAGTCAGTGTTTGATGGAAACCATCTGTCACAGTTTGAGAAAGATTCATTTGTGGTGAAGGAGATTGTTTATTCATATTTGTTTGTGTCTTTACTCAGCCCAGGCCTGTAAAGTGAGCTATTTAAACCCTGTAAGGGTGGATGTCCTGCAGGGGTTCAAGCTGCAAGACTGCCGAATGACTAAAGAAACGTTGTCAGCAAGATGGTAGAAAACTGTACATTTCTTGTCTATTACCACCACCCACTGCTACTTATACCAACGACGGAAATAAGCACAGTTACAATGGCTTAATGGGAGAGCGTTGCTATATAGAGTGACGATATTGTATTGCAATCGGTAGCAATTCAAGTCAATACCAAATCAAAACTAGTTAGCACATCATTTGTCATTGAAAAGGTTTAATGACAAAATATGGTTATGGTTACACTTAAAATAGTTACAAAATAGATGTATGAGATGATGATAACTTATACCATTAATTGTACCCAGCATATATGTAAAATGCTACCAGAGAGAGAGAGAGAGAGAGAGAAAGGGAATTCCCAGAGAATAAAAGAGGCAGAGCAACAGTTTCAATCTTGTTTTATCCTTTCCCTGACCATGTGACTTTAACCCAAAGGTGAGACGTTCAAACTGACCAATCAGATAATTACAACTTCCCCCACGGTACTAAAAGTGTGACAATTCATAGACCTCCGAAGTACACACATCTCAGCCTACAGGCCTTGATCACTATCAGCCCCTCTGCGCCTTTAGTAACTCCAAATGATCCTTGTGGTAGAAAGAGGGGGTGGAAAACAGTAAAGCAAATGTCTTTGTTCATTTCAAATGTCTTGGATTATTTTCAATCCTACAACCCTCACCCTTGTCTTTGGTCATTTTGACCCGAAACTCATCTTTTAATTAAATTTGTTTATCAGAGGGGTCCAAGACCCTAGGACTTTTGTAGCACTTGAACCACGAATACACAAAAAAAAAATGTAATGGATTCGAAGAGTTTTGAGGTTGAAATTTTAAAAAGTAACAAATCCTTCATTCGCGGGTCAATTTGACCCCCTTAGGAATGAATGGAATACGAGGAATGCTTCAGTACACTTAGAAAAAAACTAAAAATCCTAAAACTTTACCAAATTATTTTATAATGTCTGCATGTGTATCTGAATGGATACTGAAAAGAACTGACTTTAGGACCCAACGGAATGGCTCATTGGCTCCATATATAGAGCTATAAGGCCATCTAGTGGCAAGAGTCATGAAATATCATGTTATATTATTATTTTTTCCACAAGAGGTCAGCAAAGACACCCAATGTAAGATATGTTGAGCTGAATTAAAAGGGTTATGCATGAAATTGTGAGTTATTTTGAATTGAAGTTGAAAGAATGTGAGAAATGATTATTTATTGATCAAATCTAGTAATTTAAAGGTAAATAAAATAATAAAAATAAAACAAATCTCATATTATCAAAATGAAATCAAATAAGCTTTCTGTACAAAAAAAACAAAAAACAGTCGTATACTTTTAGGACTTCGGGTCATTTTGACCCACAAGCGAAGGATGTGGGTTACATCTTTTTCTTTCATCCAGGTTCAGTATTCCTGGTTCTGGTGTGTGCCGAGGGCCTGAGTGCCGGTCCAGCGCTCCTCCCCAATCCTCTCCGCTCCCACGGGCCGGTTCTGGATGTTCCCGTAGGCTTTGAGGAGCGTGAGGAGGTCTCGAGGGATCGTAAACCCGGATTCATGGAGAGTTCTCAGGAGAGCTCTGGGTTTGAAGACAGCGAGGATGGCAAGAGCGCTCACGCCGAGACCAAAGACAGCGGCGCCATGAATGGTGAGGAGAAGCGGTTATTCCAAACACGATTCATAAGTGCATGGTACTCCAAATTTTTGTTTTTGTAAACTTTCAAAGACTCAAAAGATACGACTTTCCTTTTGCGTCTGACGTCTCATTTGAGTCTCATTTGTCAACTTTTCTAAATATTCCCTCTAACAATAATTTGACTTGATTCTATTACAAAATGAAATCTGGTCACATTATTACAATCCAAAATCTGTCAAGTACTCGTCATTTGTCAACTAGGGGTGTAAATGTACACTCTTGGCAAAAAATGAATGAAATTTGGTTGCAATTTTACGACTGAAGATGAGTCGAGTACTTGTCATGTCGACCAGAGGTCTAAATATTTGCTCTGACAATAATTCAGGTGAAAAACACGTACTATTAAATGTATTTAAAAAGTACTTAAGTATGTTTTTAGTACAATCCAAATATACTATAATGCATTTTTAGTACATTTATCAGTACTAGGCCTGTAGCGGCGCATCGATGACGTCGACGCTTCGACGTCAAAAATTCGTCGACGTCATATTTTTTTGTCGACGCTTCTTTAATTATTTATGTATTTATATTTTTGCACCGTTCCCGGCGGTACAGCTCGCCACACACACATGGGAGACCGAAACATTGCAGAATCGAGGACGAAACAGCAACCTCTTCACAGAATTCACAACAAAGCCATGCAAAAGTCCCAACAAAAGAAAAAGTCCTAAAAAACCCCAGCTCGCACTAAATCATCGAAGGTATGGGAATACTTCAAATTTAGTCCCAAACGTAAAGGTGTCGTTATTTGCGCTCTTTGTCAAATGGAGTTGACATCCCAAGTCTCCCGCATAGTGATAGCGGCTCCCTGATGACCGCAAATTAGTTAAAATCTCACGGAATCTAGAGCTCGCGAGCTCCAAACCGTGTAGCGCGCGCAGCGAGGGAGAGAGCGAGAGACCTTGCGCGTGTGTGTGCAAATGTGCGTGTGTGCCTTATGAAGCGCATGTAAACCCCACCCCCGTCAACAAAACCGAAAAATCAGTCCGGATGTTTTTTATGAGCACTGAAAACATTAAAATGAGCACCACATCCAAGTGTGATAGGGCTCATTTGAGTAGCCTACCAAACATTTTACAGTGTAGATACTCTGTAAGAACCAGATCAAAATTGTTGTAGATTGAATGTGCACTCCTGCAATTTCCATGTTACAAAAAAGAATCGTTCAATTAGTCGTTAGATTAGTCGACTAATCGATAAAATAATCGACAGACTAATCGTTTAATTAATAATCGTTTACCCCAGCCCTAATCAGTACATCTTTTTCACCTAGGATGGGTTGATTCTAGTGCTGCACGATTAATCGTATCGCAATGTCAAACCTATGCGATTATATAACGCAAAATGCCGCGATTTTATATGAAATAAAACAAATTAGAGCTATTAACACAGCATCTCTTTTTTTTTTGTCATCCTTTGACTAGTGTTACACGATCCCGCTCTTTGTGCAAATGCCTTAAAACCATTTTGCACGACAAGAAGTCAAAAGAGAGCGCGCTGCCTGTGAATGTCCTGAATGTGACTCACAGAAAAACGCGCGCCAGTATAAATGCGCATGCACAGACCGCGTGCCAGAATACAGTTCTCTTTCTAGCTTGAACGAACAATAACACACACAATTATGCCAAAATGTCGTTTTGTCGATTATCTTCATAACATAAGAGCAGTCTTATGATGGACGAAAAGAGTTGTGCTTGTGAGAGAATGAGGCGCGTGTGAGATCCGCGTCTCGGCAACGGCTGCTCTTAAAGGGCCAGCAGCGAATAAAGCGTTCAGTCAGTAAAGTTAATCAAAGAACAAAGGGAACAGAAAATTACTCACTGCTCTTGACTAAAGAAGTTTTGTAGCTTTAATAAGGATTAGTCTATATATAATTTATAATTCATGCAGCGCAGACTGTTTGATAACTTTATTCAATTTCTGTATATAAATAAATCCTCCATCCTACCTGTTAAGACAGGAAGGGCACAGGTAAATATGGCATTTATTATGGGTTTATGTGAGGATTGTTTGAAGTTCACTTAATTTAAAAGCTGTTATTTATTTTTTAAGCCTAATAAATATTTTAAAAGTTGATAGCTTTCAATTGTATGATGGAATCACTGTAATGTTGGATGGCTATAATTAACGTTTAAAATGTGGGGGGTGTCGTCATTTTTATCCAGACATCAATGGTTTATTGATCATTATAGGTGTTATCATTCATTTAGTTGTTGTTGCTAGTTTGAGTTGAGAAATACACATTAATACACAGAATGATCACTAATCTGTGTGTGCATTTTACTTTAGAACCAAGCAAGTTGACTCATGAAACCATTTGTTTATTATATCGCAATCGCAATATTGACCTCATTAATCGCAATATGACATGATTTTCCTCAAATCGTGCAGCCCTAGTTGATTCTATTCCAGATGAAATTTGGTTGCATATTTAGCTACATATTTAAAATGTATTTTGCATTAGAAAATAATCCTGGGTCAATAGTATGTCATTTCTGCTGTACTAGCATCAACAAACATAATCGCAGTCTTTTTGTTTTGATGGCTTGATGGCTTGATGTAACTAAATTAACATTCATCCAAACAACACCTTGCGTTTGTGGTGGAACTACCCGTTTCTAGTGTTTGAAATTTGTTTAATACGTTTTTATTTTTGCAGGTCCATTTGCTGCCAGTAGTGGTGCAAAAATTACACGTTGCACCTGTAAATGGTGCAACAACACACTGAATTTTTGTCTTTTTATGATGATGGATTCA